TTACAACCTAGGCAAAATATATCAAAAACAACAAGAGCCAAAATAAAAAACACTTACACAATGGTGTGTACAAACTTAAATGTGGCGACTGCCCAAAAACTTACATCGGTCAAACTGGTAGAAACTTTAACAAACGAATAGCAGAACATAAAAGCGCTTTCAATAATAGAAAAACAGATTATACATACGCACTTCACCTTCTAGATCACAATCATTCTTTTAACGACGAATGTAAAATTCTTCACATTTAAAATAAAGGCCTTAAGCTATCCTTGTTACAATCTATGGAAATCAACAAATTAAAAAACACAGATATAATTCTGAATGACCAACTCGAAACAAACAGTTCTCCCCTCCTCAACCTAATTCATTAGAGACTATAAAGTGTAAACGCATGCCAAAAATAGATCACTTGAGAAAGGCAATCAGCCGAAACAGCTGTAGTGATAAGAGTTCAGAGCTTTCTCTTAGAAAGGGCTTTAGTGACTATGTGAGTAATATATGAGGATATCTTGGGTTTTGTAGTCAATATTGGCCTTTAAGCAAATTTTTTTTAGGTTAGTTAAGCTTTCGAGTTTATTTTACTCTTTTTTAAAACATACTAAAAATTAACATAAAAACTACATTAGAACAATGAAGTTGTTATATCTTCAACAGGTTTACCCTTGTAAGGATTGTATTTTAAAATAAGCAAAATTAATCATTAATCCGTTAATAAGTAAATGGTTTTTCGGAATCTGTAAATACCCAGTAGAAATTAAGTGTCCTTGTAGAAATAATATGAATTAGAAAAGTTTGTAGGTATTTCTGATTTTATGTGGGGAGTGGTATGCAAATTTCTGATTGGCCGAGAATTTGGAAAGTGGTGACATGGGTGTGTATAATAAGAGGTTGGATGGGTGGATAGATGAGATGAGATAGTTAGTTAGTTCCAGTTTCTTAAAGTGAATGGACACTAAGAGGAAAAGAGGCTGACATCAGGTATTGGAAAGGTACGTGTATTCGAAGGAGAGTATTGAAGACACTAAATTGCAATATCTTGTTTATTATTGCCAATTACATAGGAGGCTGCTGAGAACTGATAGTTTATTTTGCATAGAACTAGGAATTGGACAACTCACGGCAGATAAAGCGTTTCAACGGGAGAAACATTCATAATTAATTTCAATTTGAGAATTTTGGGTCAAATAATATTAAATCATATTAGTAAACTGTGAATAAGTTGTCGATAGTCGAAAGAGATCAAATTTTTTCTGAGAGGGGACGGAGCTGTGGAGAGAATTGAATAATTCATACAATTTTTCTTAGTATAATTGATATACCAAGATTGCATTAGGAAGGACACTTAATATTACTTGATTTGTTTATGTAGAATCATAAGCTCGATTTTAGATTGTAATTGTATTATATTATCCATGCATTATTGAAGGTTCACCTACGTAGAACGATTTTTGTTTGATAAACATTGTATGCTATTAATTTTTGGAGGTATTTTAATCAGTCTATTTTATTACATTATTTTTATATCATATTATGTTGTTTTATTCCGTTATTCTTTGGACCTAACCCATCCGTTCTAAAGTATAGATATTGAAGCACGAGTAAAACCTGAGATAACAAAATTGAAAGGTTGTGATATAAACCATAAATCAAAAATTTAAATAATTTTTATATATAATTTTTGTGAAGTATTAAAATTAAAATTCTTGATATCACATTAATATATATATATATATATATATATATATATATATATATATATATATATATATATATATATATATATATATATATATATATATATATATATATATATATATATATATATATTATTGTGATATTTCAAGTCTTGGTGCGCCAAGCAATTAATTAGCTAATTAATTAATTAATTAATTAAAATTATTTAAATGATATGACTATGATACTATCACAATTTTTTTTTATTCTCTTATCTCAGGGTTAAATTCGTGCTTCAATATCTATGCTATTACATGTGAAAGGTAAGGTCCAAAGAATACCGGAATAATAAAAAACACATATGATATAACACTATATATTGAAATAAAAATAATGAAATAATTCACACTCAAATGTTTTCAATAAACAAAATCTCATATAATGATTCTCAAAATTTTGTTCTACGTACGTGAACAATCAAAATTAATGGTACAAACAATATTAATTGAAATCTCAAAATCCCAAACTATTCTAACTCTCCTAATCAAAATATTTATATCCTTTCTAAATTAAGTGTAAAATTGTGTTGTCAATAAAAGAAAAAACTGCAGAAAATAAAAATATCTCTCTCTGATGATGAGTGGTCCAAATCCTTGTTCCTTGTAGACTATATTATCTACATTCAGCCGCTCCCTAGGTGATCAGCAATATCACAACAAATTATTGCAAGTTTATCGTCCTTAATGATCTCCTTCAAATGCACGAATCGTTCAAATTATGCTAGCTTCTTCTTCTCTCAATAAACTGAATCTCTCGTTGGCCTGAGTTAAAAATGACTCTTGGAATATCTTTTCTTTACGATAAACTGAATCTCTCGTTGGCCTGAACAGTGACTCTTGGAATATAAGTAGAAAAATATGACTTACAATATTTTACTGGATCAGCTTCTGTCAGATACACTAACTACACGAAAACTCACAAACTTTCACTGCTACTGCTTCCTACCCCTGGGAAACTACCCGAGAACAACGGCCGTTCGCCTTGCACCCTTGGAAACCAACTGATTATCTTTTCTCTCTCAAAAATCTAGCTAAACTTTCATTCCTACATACCTATCCCACCTTTTTCAATCTCCGCCAATCAAAGCTCGTCACAATTCCCCCATTTTTTCATTTCGATAACAAACAAATTCTTACCTATAATTATAAAATTTCCTAAAACTTATTTACAAATAATATTTTTCTACAATTCTTAAAAACTAACAAAAACCTCTTTCTGAAATCTATTTTATTGTCCTTTAATCACTGCATTAATGTATTTGGAAAACCCGGTTCAATTGTCTTTGGATTTCACTTAAAATTATGCGGGTCACTCAAGTATAGTATAACAAAGAAAAATAATTTATGCATAGCTTACATTTTGTTTAATACAGGTAATCCAAAAATTTAAATACTTTCCTTCTTCGAAATGTTTGTTGGTTATTATCCTACTGATCTAAATTATTTTAATGTTTTTGAACTTTTTAAACAAAATATTTTAAACAAACCAATATTTTTCTCGATTTTACATATCATAACAATATATATATATATATATATATATATATATATATATATATATATATATATATACATATATATATATATATATATATATATATATATATATATATATATATATATATATATATATATATAGCAAAAAAAATACGACCGTTGATTAAATTTAAAAAATATTCAATAGTTGAATAGCAGAGGTTGTATCGGTCAATGATAGGCAAATGAAAGTCGTCAACTACTTCATTGATTTAATCGAATACGTTTCGCTTTTTAGTTTTCAAAAGCATCATCAGTTCACTACAAATAAAAATAAAACGATGTAAAATATAAGTAAATAACCAAAAGGGTTCATACTTACAAAAACAATTTGTAGGTTTTGTAAAAGATGTTAAAAACACTCTACGATCACTTAACAATAAAAAATTTAAAAACTAAACGATAGAATCGAAACAAAAAACACACAGGAAAAAACTGAAACAGCACTATTGTTTATTTAATTTTTACCGATGGCTTCATCTCAATGTGGGTGTAAGCTCTTTCGAAGACCCAACGCAATAATCTCTTGGAATGTTTTCTATCGGTTTTCGGCTGTCATATTTGCACATGTGTGCAAACAAAAAAATTATCACAAGCGTTCTATCCTTGAAATGTGTCAAATTCTTAAACATCCATCATCCCTAAATAAAAGAACCGACATCGACAACTTGAGCCAGATATATCACTCTCTCATCATACACAACAAATAATAATTATAAAAAAAAAACACTTACAAGATAGTAACTTCATTCCCCTTCTTCTTTCCCTATGTTTCAAAATAAATTTTTTTTTGTAGAAAAAAAAAATATTCCTTTTTGAAAAATAGGGCTGTCCCCGTTCTGCTTACTAACTTTTTTAATAATTGTACCTCACTGCTTTCCGAAGAAACATATGGACGACACGCCACATGTGCAAATATGACAGCCGAAAACCGATAGAAAACATTCCAAGAGATTATTGTGTTGGGTCTTCGAAAGAGCTTACACCCACATTGAGATGAAGCCATCGGTAAAAATTAAATAAACAATAGTGCTGTTTCAGTTTTTTCCTGTGTGTTTTTTGTTTCGATTCTATCGTTTAGTTTTTAAATTTTTTAATGTTAAGTTATCGTAGAGTGTTTTTAACATCTTTTACAAAACCTACAAATTGTTTTTGTAAGTATGAACCCTTTTGGTTATTTACTTATATTTTACATCGTTTTATTTTTATTTGTAGTGAACTGATGATGCTTTTGAAAACTAAAAAGCGAAACGTATTCGATTAAATCAATGAAGTAGTTGACGACTTTCATTTGCCTATCATTGACCGATACAACCTCTGCTATTCAACTATTGAATATTTTATATATATATATATATATATATATATATATATATATATATATATATATATATATATATATATATATATAATAGGGAAAAATAAATTATTTATCATATGTAAAATATATTAAAATACTACACTATCCTTGCGACTTCGTAGCCTGTACAGCTTTTTAAAAAATAACTACATATACAAATTTAAACTAAGACAACTACATAAAACAACCACTGAAACCGACTCTGCGACTAGCCATTAATTGTAAAACTTTCAATGTAATCTTGAACGTGAATTCCATATAATATAGTTATTGTTGATGAAACACTATCGGAAATCCCCGATAACAGTTCATTCAATATAAACTTATTTTAACATATTCGAACCTTATTTTCAACTATAACGTGACAACAGTATTAGCAAAATTAGTTTTAAGTGTATCTGAGATAGAAAGTTTAGTAAAATGGTTGAAATGGTAGAAACAAAGTATTATTCTATTGACGAAATAGCCAAACATGATGGTAACGTGGAAAGCCGAATTTGGATAATTATAAAAAAAAATGTTTACGACGTCACTGATTACATTGAGGAACATCCGGGGGGAGCAGACGTTATAAAAGAATGTGCTGGAAAAGACGCAACAAGAGAATTTGAAAATATCGGACATTCATTAGACGCTAAAAACAGACTTAAGAAATTAAAAATCGGTGAAGTTAATGAAGAAGAGAGAAAAAATAAAACGACTAACAACAAGGACAAGAACCAATTAGGAACAAATGCGACAGGAGAATCATCGGATATCAAATATTACACCCTGGAAGAAATATCCAAATACGATGGTAAACAAGATCCAAGAACATGGATAATTATAAAGGATATGGTATATGATGTCACAGATTATCTAGATGATCATCCCGGAGGAGGAGAATTAATAACAGAGTGGGCAGGTAAAGATGGTACCAAAGACTTTGATGACTTCGGACATTCTTCGGATGCCAAAAAAGAACTGAAAAAGCTAAAAATTGGTGAAGTTGTTGCAGATCAAAGAAAAGCGAAACCTAAGAAAAAAACTAAAAACAATCAACAAGAAAAGAAACAAAATTCTAACGTGATAGAATCAGCGGATTTTAAAGCTAATAGAAGCTGCATTTCAATAATTACTTGTGGAATTCTATCATAGTCATTATAATCCTATATTAGGTAACTATCTTTTGTGATATTTTAGTACTAGTGTAATTTTATTAAAATTATTTTAATTCTGTATTAGGTACATATCATTTGTGATGGCTTAGTGCTAAAATATGTGTGATTTTCAAAATTAAAATGTGTATTTTTAAAATTAGATATTTTATCTATAATATTGCAGTGTTTACTGTAAACATGACAATGATATAAGTTTTTGATCATGTAAATTTTAAAGCATTTTTTCTTATAAAAATAAATACAGCCACCAATATTTTACTAAATATTTTTAAAATAATAATACCTATTGTTTGATTTTTTAACATTTTCTTCTTTCTTTTTCTACATTTATACGAGTGACCTATATTCTGTAACCTCTAATTTTTATTTCGGTCTATTTGTTAAGTAAGTTGAGATATATTTTTTCTGATTTGTAGTGACATTTTTTTGTGATTTCTTTATTTTATTCTTAATTTTTATTAATTTTCTTTTTGTTTTTTGGTATTATACGTTTTCGATTTCAATATATTTGGCATTTTCTTCTTTTTTGCTCTAGAGATGCTCTGTTCTGCTTTTCTTTTACTTAAATTAAAACTTAAATAAATCGAAACGCAACCTTCTTCGTATATTTATTGTCCTTACTCGACGCAATGAGTACAAGAATGGGGGTATTTTATATGGGTAAATTGTTGATGCATAGTGGAATATAAATATTCCCAGCATCGCTCTGAATAGCTTGATTAAGCTTTGGTATACAATTTACTTTAATTGCTATTGATACATTTAAATTAAAATATTGTTAACTGATTCTCCCAGACAGAAGTGATCAAACATTGGACTTTAAATACATAAAACAGAAGTCTACCAATTAATTTTTTTAATACTAACTACATATTTTCAACTACATTAAACCGTAACAATTGATAGATTAGAACATTTTTTAACATCATAGTTATGTTATTAAGTGTTCAAAATGTGCTCAATTTGTGAGATGACAATACCCTAATCGATAGTAGAATGCGTCTACTACATTTCTCCATAATTCTCTAGAAATTATTTGAGATTTATCGATAATTCGTTGCCTTAACTCTGCAAGACTTGCAGGTTAAGTTTTGTAAACTGAATTTTTCATGTATCCCTAATAAAAATAATCTTTAGGATTTTAATCGGGTGAACGTGGAGGCCATTCAATTCTACCTTGTCTACTAATTTATCGTCCGGGAACTATCTCATCTAAATATCGCCGAACATTTACACCAACTATCTGACGTTAAATTTCTTTCGATAAAAAATGGCCCAATATTTACTATACCTGACCATACATTTAATTTTTGTGGTCTTAGAGTATGATTTTCACGCATTCAGTATTAATTTACGTCACTTCAGTACCTTAAATTGTGTCGATTTACACTTTGACACAGTGTAAAGGTTGCTTCATCGGAAAAACATATTTTGTTAACGAAATTTTAATAATTTTCAATTTTATCCATCATTACCTCAGTAAACTCTAATCTACGATCGAAGTCATCTTCACTTAATTCTTGCAATAAGTTAATTTTGTATGGTTTAAATTTATTTTTACGTAAGATACGTAAGACTGAAGAATGACCTACATCATGTATTTGTGCAACCCTGCCTAAGGGTGTATGTGGATCTTCAACAAAACTTTGCTTATTTCTAAAGTTTTGTTGTCATTCATAACTCCTATCTATCTTTTACTTCTCCAGATTCCTCATATTGCTTTATATTGTTTAGTAACCGTCGCCTTATGAATAGGAGAACGATTTAGAGGACGACATAGAGAAGAAATTTAAATTGCAGAACTTTTCGAAACACAACTACTATCAGTTTTACGAGCACCATGATAAGTCACACCATACCACGGTGTGACCATGACAAAATCACAGCTTTCTACATTTAAATATTTAAATTTATTAAAATTTACATATTTTGCACTGTTTTATGTATTTAAGACCTTTCAGACTACATAAAATCATAAGTTTTACATATGGTTGAACTCGTATAGAATAGTTGAACTCGTGTGAAATTCACACTGAATGCGTGAAAACCATACTCAAAGACCACAAAAATTTATTGTATGGTCAGGTATAGTAGATGAATTGGACCATTTTTTATCGAAGGAATTTTAACATCAGATAGTTGGTGTAAATTATCATTTTTTTTATAAATATAAATACAGCCACCAATATTTTACTAAATATTTTTAAAATAATAATAACTATTGTTTCATTTTTTAGCATTTTCTTCCATGTTTCTGCTTCATACGTTAGGACTGAGTGTATACATTGATAAAATACCTTCCTTTTTAAGCACATGGGAATATACTATCTAAAGACTTTCCTCAGTTTTCCGTAAGCTATCCATGTTGGTCCTATTCTCCTATTTCACTCTGTTGTTGCCTCTTCCTAATTTATTCTCGTGCCCCAGATACTTAAAGTTATACACTTGCGTGTAGAATGTGCGTTCCATTAGTTGAAATGTTTTTGGCTAGTACAAGGTTGGGGTTGGGCATGTATTGTGTTTTGGAAAAGTTAATTTTAGGGCCAACTCATGTACAAGAGCTCTGAAGGTCTTAAAATAGTTGGCAGGTATGATCTAGCTGGTCTGAAATAAGGACTATGTCATCTGAAACCCCGAAGTTGTTCAGAAACTCCCCATTTATGTTGACTTCAGTATTTTCCCAATTATTGTTTCCCATAGCACTCTGTAATAAAGCGGTGCATAGTTAAGGAGAGATGGTATCTCCTTGCCTAATACCCTTCCCCAGAGAAATGTGTCTGTGTCGCCAAAGTACATTCTAATTGCAGCCGTTGCGGTATTATATACATATTCCGAAGAAGAGCTGTGTACCTATGATGAATACTGCACCCTGTCAGAACTCATAACATGGAGCTATTCTGGACTGAGTCAAATGCTTTCTCAAATTATACAAATATTAATAATAATGTCTTCTAGTAATATTATCATAGCTTTCCAGTTTGCTAGTAATATTATCATAATAGCACTATTCCATTTTTCTGGTGTAATTCCTTTCAAGGAGCAGGCATTGTAAAGTTTTTATGACGCATTTGCCTTCTAGTTTTATCATTTTACTTACAATGTCAACTTCTCCAGGCTTTTTGTTCTTTATCATACCTTTTAACGCTGATTTAATTTACTCTTCGGATATATCTGGAAGTTCCTATAATACTTGTTTTTGTACTATTGGCATCTCTATCTCAGGAATGTGAGCATCTTGACTATATAATGTTCTGTAGTACTCTTCGATGATTTTTAGAATCTTTTGTTATTCATATACGGCATCTCTTACTTTATTTTTTAAGTTAAAAAAATATTTCTCGTTTCTGTCTTCAACTTTCTTATAACTTTAAGGCTTTTTTTTTATGGTATTAGTTATTTCTTTAGTGCTAAAGTTCCTTGTGTCATTCCTAATAGCTTTTGAAAGAGTTTTGTTTAAATTTCTTAGATCTGCAATGTTGTGTGCTTATCTTTCATTTCCCTTCTTTTTTGATACTTCTTTAGTGCCTTCTCTAGGGCGTCCACCAACATTTTGTTAAGCTGTTCTAGACTATTTTCATTTTGTACGTCTTTCTGTGGGTTACTCTCTATTTCTTCCTGGTATGGCCTTGTGTTAGTAATCGCAGTGTATGGGACGTTTTTAGTCATTGTTACCATATTTCTTCTTTCCTTCTTAACTTTCAAGACAATCTTTGCTCTAACCATGATATGGTAAAAAATTAATTTAACAAAGTTATGTCTTGAACAGCGTCTTTTTTGTTGGTAAATATAAAGTCAATTATTTTCTTGTTTAAGATGCTTGGAAAGTTCACTTCCCGTGAAAGAAATTCTATATTTTCTCCTTTTATTTCTATCGTCATATTCGTACAAACTCTAAATCATCCTGCGTGTGGCCTATTTTGGCGTTTAGATCTTCCACCAGTAAAGTATAATTGATGGTTACCTCTGGTATCGCAGTATTAACGTCATCGTAGAACTATTCAACTTGTTTGTCAGTGAGGGCACTGGTAGGTGCGTATACGTGGATGACCTTTAATCGAATGTTTTCATTTACTTTGTAGATAAAATATATTTCTCTATCATCTCTATCATTTATGTTTATAATTGTAAGTATATTCTATTTACGGTTTTTATTTACCATAAATCTGACGCCACCATTAGAAGACTCTCCTCTAAAATGCAATAGGTTTCCCGATGAAATTATCATTTATTCTTCACCCTGTTGTCACACTTCGGATAATCCAAGTATATACCATTTTATATGCTTCAGCTTGTTTTTAAGTTCTATAAGTTTGTCGTCCTCTATCAATGTTCTGGATTCATCAATGTTCTGAAATTTCTGAATTAAAGGTATAGCATCGTAGAAGCCTTACTTTGATGTACAGATTAAGGTTGTGGTTTTCCATGCGTTTGGCCATGTAGTTGAATACACTCCTAGCTTTTTCTACTCTACATTTTACCTGTTGTGTGTGATCTTATTCTTCGTGTACTATAGTTTTAAGGTAGGTAGACTATTTTACTCGGTTCACTAATTTTGTGTCAGCAGACTTGGTAAATGTGCGGTTTTTACATTGGGCAAAGAAAAGTCGCTAGCAAAAAGCTACATGGAAGGTTCAGTCTTAAATCTAAAGAATGTAATCAAGGATTAGAGGACCACAATAGATATGAAAAGCTCGTAGTGAAATAGACCAAAAGCCACTTCATTCAATCTATCTATCTATCTATTCTTCTATGTCACCATTTTAGTAATTATTACGTTATTACTTATGCCGTTGAACATATCACTGCTTCTTCCGTCTTCGGTGCCGGTTTTTCAGCCCCAGGATAAAAGAGTGCCCTACCACTTACCAACTCCACCGCCTGAAGCCGTTGAAGCAGTTCCTGTTTGCGGTAGCAATCTATATGGATGTCACCCGTCTTCTACCGCGTGGAGTATGAATGTAAAAGATGTAGTTAATATTTTGTTGGTTCTACTTAAATTCTAGATTTTTGTCTCGGATGGTTAATACTTTTTTCTTGACCAAAAAGACATCTATTGCTTTCTTAACTATTATCGCTATTTATAGATATACAT